AAAAAAAAAAAAAATCCACTTTTTTAGCCCAAAAAGTGGGCATAAGGGAAACTATTGTGTCGTATTTTTTTTAATTAACATATCATTTAATTAACATATTATTTAATCTCACATTCATTTAATATTATTTGATGTTTGTGCTTCAATATCCTTTGGATACAAATTTTTCCATAATTAATTTTGTTGATGCATTTTAACATTCCTCTTACATTTATTTTAACAGTTTTTCACAGAAAAGATAATAATATTGGTAACATAGAATCTCCGACTAGTTGGAAATCGGCTTGCTCGAACTCCTCCTTGCCAGTTGTACGCCTCGTACCTGTAAAAACTCTCACACCGAAGAGGGTCTCTAGTGAAGAGCCTTGATTCTTACATAAGTATGTGTAGAAGATGAACCCTCAAAGAGTATAATGAACGGCATGGCTAAAAACCGCAAGTCTCATCCCTATATATAGGGATGAGGTACCTATTCTATAGGAGTTGCATGGAATTACTGAGTCAACTGCCCGAAAGTGCTGAGTCGGTTGCCCGGTCGTATAACACACACTAGAGGTGTGTCATAAACGGTTATGGGATTGGGCCGATCAGGCCTGCCACGTGTTCTCATCATGCGGGGGTTTGATTACCTTGAGATCTTCCCGAAAGCTCGACCATTTATTGGTTGACTTACTGTTTTAGGTAAATTTTCGACCAGGCTATTCGAGGACTCAGGCTCGACCTACACTTCTCGTATCGAAATCCCCTTTAAGTTGTCCTCCAGTCCTCTTGTTCCTATGTCTTTCGACCACGACCACCCCCGTTCGGATCTCGCTCGACCAGGTGATTTACTCGGTTTATTCGACCGGCCTGCTCAATCGGTTTACTATCTTAGGTATAGTATCACATATCAAACAGATGAATTACCAACCCATACAATGCCTAATGACCTAGAAGTTCATTGCCCCCATACAACGTTTTACACAATTGACATAGCATAGTGCACAATAAATCCCATATATGTGAAATAAACAAAAGTAAATAAGGAAATAGAAGAAATTGCAAATATCCATATATCTCAATGTCATTATTTTCTCTTCAATGTGGATAAAGGGATAAGGCTATGAACACACGCCATCCAATGGAAATCATGCCTGCAAATAACATCACAGCCCTGAACCACAAATTTATCAGCAACAAAAGATCTCAAATTACTGATTATACATTGTTTGATATACTTTCATTTGTAACCCCCCACCTATCTTTGAACCACTGCACATTCCAAAGCAAGAATGGCAAGTGCAGCTTCCACCATTACCAGCCAGCTGAAGAGCAATTTCGCCCCTTCACTGAGCAGAGCCCTGGTTACTCCCAAGGGCATTTCCGGTGCTCCTTTCAGAGTTTTGCCTAACAGAAGAACCTCCTCTTTCACCGTCAAGGCTATCCAGTCCGAGAAGGTACGACAAATTCTATGAATTTTGAGCTTGGATAATGATTGATTAATTTCTCAAGTTTGAGATAATTTAGTCTTGAGTGCCCATTATTACTACTCTGCTTTGGAGTAAATATGCTGAATTTTAAATATGCATAGTCTTGTTATGACATGTGGGGGAAAAAAACATGTAATGTCTTCAACTTTTATGTAATCAAATTTGAGCAAGCATGTGAAAGTTTTAATCTTTATTGCTCCCATCATCTTTTTACCTGCATCTGTACACATATCTCGCTGTATCAAACTGTTGATAAACCATGATAATCAATCCAAGATTGGACCTTTTTTTCTTGGTGTGCAGCCCACTTACCAAGTGATCCAGCCGATCAATGGCGACCCGTTCATTGGAAGCTTGGAGACCCCGGTCACATCCAGCCCGCTCATCGCCTGGTACCTCTCCAATCTCCCTGCATACCGGACGGCGGTCAACCCCCTCCTCCGGGGGGTAGAGGTTGGGCTGGCCCACGGGTTCCTCCTCGTGGGCCCCTTCGTCAAGACAGGCCCGCTCAGGAACACAGAGTATGCGGGTGGGGCTGGGTCGCTGGCTGCAGCTGGTCTGGTCGTGATCCTCAGCATCTGCCTCACGATTTACGGGATAGCATCATTCAAGGAGGGTGAGCCCTCGACTGCCCCGTCTTTGACTTTGACTGGCCGGAAGAAGGAGCCCGACCAGCTCCAGACGGCCGATGGATGGGCTAAGTTCACGGGTGGGTTCTTCTTTGGTGGGATCTCGGGGGTCGTGTGGGCGTACTTTCTTCTCTATGTTCTCGACTTGCCTTACTATGTGAAGTAAGGTGGGGGAGTTGTTTTTTTTTTATGTTTGGGATTTGATGTGGTGTGTGTAATTACTTCTGTGGGAACTGATTGGAATGTTTGTGTAGATTGGAAGGATATGATGATGCATTTGGAAATGGTTTCATGTGAAAATGTTGGTTCTTTTCTATCTTTCTTTACCTTTTTAATATTACAGTGAAATTTCGTTTAGTGTCTCGAGTTTGGAGAGGCGCAATTGAAATACGATAAAGCTTTCGTGTAGGTTATGTGAAAAGAGAATAATAGGATTTGCGGAAAACTTATATAATTGATTTTGATTATTTGAATTTACAGTGAATGACGATAGTTACTCTTCATCAATGAGTGTTCATGTGAAAATGTGCTTGTGGTGGTAATGTAATGAGACTAACCAACCCTTCATGCTCTTGATATGAAGGTAATAATATCATCTAAATTCCAAAGTTTTTCTATTTATAACTTTCCGCTGTTCTATGCAATTGTTTTAAAGCTTAGTTTTTATACCCTCTTTTTTCCCCATGCTTGATTTCACTATCTGAATGGCTGTTAGTTTTCGTTTAAACTAAAGCTTAGTTATTTGCGACCGCGAGACCTTCGAAATCCCAGATAAATTTTATTACTTCTGATCTATTTGTAGTGATCAACTAAAGGAGCAATGCATGTGTTACAGAGAACATGAACAAGCTATTTAACAATTTGACTCAGAATGTGTGGAATGCTTGGCATCTGTTGTCAAAGAATTTTTTTAAAGATAACGTTACTCTTGTTGTGTAGGTAGATTTCACTTCATATTTTAGTTACTTTGAAGGTGTTCTTTTCTTATAAGTGAGTGCAAAATAAAAAAAAATTGTTCTTCTTGTTCTCTAGGGATACTTTTCACAAGTAGTGGCTAAAAAAGTATACATATACAGAGGAGCATATACATATAATGGAGAGAGAGAGAGAGAGAGAGAGAGAGAGAGAGAGAGAGAGAGAGAGAGAGAGAGAGAGAGAGTAAGTAATAGCATTTGTAGTTATTTAACTTTTGAAGATCTAATTAAGGAGAAATGTTACGGTCCTGTTACTAAATCATTTTGTCGGGTTTGTAACCGTTAGATCAGCTATTCTCGACGGTTACATGATGATCTAACGTTTACAAATCCCGAAGTAATAGTTTAGTAACGGGACAGTAACATCTCCTTTAAGATATGTACTGTTCACATGTGCTCCTTTTTAATGTTTTTGTTCGAATGGACTGTTTATTAGCAGCACGTTTTGCATTTGTTCAAGTAGTTATTGTCTAGCGTAGTTCGTAGTTTTACATTCATTGGGAATGCAAAATCTCCAGCATATACTTAAGTGTGTTTTCTTGTTTGTTGGAACAAAAGCTTTTAGTGTTCCATCACAATGTAGACATTCAAAAATTAGTGAAACTAATTGATATTTAATTGCTACAATTGTTTTAATTTGGTTTAATGTAGGCATTTGTTGACTGTTGAGGTGATGAGAAGGTTAAATTATCAGACGGTTAAGATTTCTGTAAGAAGAAAATTTCTAAATTGCTCCTCAAAAGATGATTAAAGTGTGGTAGAATTGATGATAAAAACACAGACGAGTAACTCATACAATTCAGGGCCGCCTTTTCTAATCATCATCTAAAAAGCAACAAGCAGCGGAACAGCAAAATTTTCCCCACAGGCCGGTAAAGCATAGAAGCGGCTTTATCATTTTTACAAGCAAAATACTCTGAGGTAACATTTCAAACCTCATCAGCCCGGAAAGCAGATTACAAATGATGTTGGTTCTTAACATGCACTGGCCGGCTTTGATCCCTTATCTAGCTTCTTGGATTGCAATCTCTGCATGAACTTTGGATTGGCTTTGAGCCTCTCTTTCACGTCCGATATCCGAGCATGTTCCACCAGTTTCCTAGCCTTTCCCGCCTCCTCGATCAAGGCAAATAGTGTCCTGAGGCAATCCTTTCTATTTTCCTCCCGATGCTCGAACCTTTGATAAAACAAAAAGAAAATTAAATAAATAAATAAATAATGAAAGAGAAATTAAGACAACAATGTCGTACGTAGTGACATCCAACAAGAACATTTGCGAAGTAGCAGCCAAAAATTCAAAAAACAGTGATTTTGTTGTCTGTTTCTCAACATATCTACCATATATTTCGTCTTCAAACAAGAAAATAAAAGTAACTACAGACCAGGGACCAGACCACATTACCTAATCAATAAAAACTTGAACATGGTTACTTTCAACCGTTAAAAAATTTTATGTTAATAAACAGATATTTATCATGACACAAGCATTACTGCACATACTGATCATCATCTTACTAAAAGTACAGCAAACCATGCGGGAAAGGGCTTATACCTCTCGCTAGTAATGGTGAGCTCATCTTTCCCCGGATTGTACCTCTTTCCAGCCAACTCCCTCAACCGCACGAACTGATGCTTGGACAGGCCAAGCTCCTTAACAGTCACCGCCAGCTTCACTTTCCGATTCTTTGGGTGCCATGCATCACCTCCAGGACAAAAGACCACTCGGGTTTGCCACCTGAGGATTGGCCCTTCACCCGGTGGGTCATCATCCAGAGCCTTGTTGTCAGGCGCAATATCCTTGCCAAACTTAGGTGGTTCCTCAGCCTCCATTAGCTTGGCACACTCCAAGACCATCTGGTCCTCAAACTCCTTAAACAGCTCGTAACCTTCTTCAACCTCGATCTCACCCTTTTCAACCCTGTCGCCTATCTCGTTAAATTTCTTCTCTACCTTCTTCTTTATCTCATCTGAAAATAGACCATTGTTAGAAGGGGAATTTGATGACAAAGAAAGCAATTCTGCATTTGCTTCTTACAGAATCGGGAAAATAATTTGTAGAGTTGAGTTGATATATTTTTAAGACTCAAATCATTGATGTTCATATGAAGATGCAAAAAAGAAAAAAAAAATCAGGAGGCGTAGGCTTAAAGGACAAATTAGGTGGACGAAACAAGAAATTTAAAAGAAAAAGGATATAGCGCCTGAAACATCTAGTCTAGATCAGTCAATGATTAACATAATACTGTTGAAGGAATAAAAAATCCAAGATGTGGCATTATACTCTTTGACAGAACATAAAAAGATTGCGTGCATAAAGTTTATAGCAACGATCTTGAGTCTACAAACAACAAGACCTCCACACAGTATTTTGTCATTATGTTATTTATATCTTTAGAGCCATGTCATACTCCAACAACCCACATACATGTAACTCAACGAATATTCTTTCTGGTTAAGAAATCGATTGATGATTATAGAATACAACTCTGCCATCCAGAAAACGTACATGTTCAAATGCTTTCAGTCAGAGTCAGAGATGAACACACAATTGACATTACAGGATCAGAAAGGCAAACAAAAGCAGTGTAGAAGACATTTTCAACTTGAATGGTACGGTTTAGCGATAGTTGTCATGTATAATTAACCATTGTATCCGAAAATAGCTTACCCCACAATTAAAAAGCAACAAAAACACAGTTAAAACAACGAATGGCAATGACAATATAATTAGAGTCGAATCACCCAAGCTAAACACACTGGCAAAAGGGGAAGTCATGCAATACTACCTGGCAGAAGCTTGTCCCAGCTGAGCATATCCTCTAGTATGGCTTCACATTCTTTGGTATCATCAAGGTCACCATCCTCAACCGCCTCCTTGATCATGTCGTCCCATTTCTTGTCATCCATGTGGAAGTATGGGTCATCCGTCAGGTCCTTCATCACATAGTCCCTAGCATTGTATAAATTATCAATCTCTTCATCAGTTGAATGCAGCTCCTCAAAATCTGATTCAAAATCTTCGTCCTTCACGTTTTCCAGTGGCTTCATCTCAAGCTCATCCATTAGCTCGTCATCTGTTTCTTCATGCTTCTTCACAAGCCTTCTCTTCAGAACTGACTCAAGGATGGTCGGGAGTACCTCCTCGTTCCCAGTGTTGAAATAGTCCTCTATCTGGAGTTTCAGTTCTGTAACAGATCACAATCAAAGAAGCTGCATACTATTAGCATTTGGCCCCACATAGCTCTTTGAAGCACAAATTGAATTCTAATGAAAATGAATCACAACGTATAACCACATAAAGCACACATATGTATCTTCATTCCATCTAACAAATCCAAATCTTTTCTTCATTCCATCTAACAAATCCAAATCTTGTGTGTTATATCACATTTTATATCAAGCAGCTTCCAAAAAAATGGCGGATTTATCTAATAACCTTAATGCACAACCTTTATTGCCCACATCTTCCACATCGAGCGTCGCCTCCTTCTTCTCTTTGGTTAGGGCTACGCCGGCTTCGGAGTCAGGGTTGGCGCCGGGATCGGAGCTTCCATTTTCCGATGAGAAAAATCGCATACCGGAAGAAAGCCGGCTGAGCAACGATGCATTTTCAGTGATGTAGCCGCCGCGTAAATACCTGGTATCGCCATTAGATACTGCGGGTGAAGATTTGAGGTTCCGAAGCAAGTGAAGATTGCGCGCGCATAGAGAGAAGTTTCGCAGGAGAGATCCTCTCATCGGGATGGCTACTAGCTAGGGTTTTTGGAAGGGTTCTGCTTCAGCCTTCGCTCAATTTAGTACTTTTTCACCTCTGAGTAGAAACTGCTCGGAGATTGTAGAGTGCAAACTTTATAAAAAGGAAAAAAAGAACAGTAAAATGTGATTGATGTTGTGAAATATTTATAAAATAATGTATATGAATGACTATTTTGTCTCTGATGTAATTGTATTATTACAGTTGTGCCATCAGAAGTTTCCTATAAATAGGAGGTTCAGTTATAATGAAAATTGTACCTAAGAGAAAACATTTTCTCTATTATCTCTCTTTCTCTCTAGTTTTATAACACGTTATCAGCACGAGTCTCTGCCCTCTTGAGCTCGGTTTGTAATATGACGAGAGTATGCTCTACGGTTGCATCTTAGAGATGATCTTCCGTATCAGAAATCTAATTGTTACAATCGTTACTTTTTCCCAACCAATTTTTCGTATCACTCATGGGGAAAATTCTGAATTTTCATGCTCTACCTTTAGCCATTTCACTTACTTCTTGAGCACATAATATGCTTTAATGGACACCCACCATAGTCAAGAACCATAAAACAAAAGTACTATTTTTTCCAAAAATGAAAATCAAAAGGCGAGGAAGCTCTGCAAGAATGCGGCTGCTTTGAGGCCTCGTTTGATAGTGTCCCAACTACTCTCACCTGGTAAAATCAAGATATCCACTAATCTCATATGGGCCCAAGGAATCCAATTTTCAGTGCCTCACAAGATGGGCAATATATTTAACAACATCAAAGAGGAGGGCTGCTAGACGAGGACGGCCACCACCCCAATGGGCTTCCGCAGCGGTGCTACTTGCTCGCTTTCGCCGTCAGGTTTTGCATGCTCTTGACCTTCTTTGTGCTCATATTGAGGAGAGCAAGTAGGAATCAGGCACCTGTCGACATCAGGTACACACCTATTGATTTCAACTGGACTCATTGATTTATTTAAATAGAGAAGAAGGAAGGTATAGATAAAAAAGGTTAGCAGGTATGATATAATAAAAACTTTGATTTCATTTGAATAATGAAAGAACACTCTGGACAACCACCCATTCAAAAAGGATAAGATATTTGGTTTAATAAATAGTATAATCGAACATGTAAAACAAATATTCCATTAATGCATTTTGTATAGTTTTGCATCGGTCTAAAAATAATTGATAATATGTACATGAGTTTGGACCACTCAATAATTTTATTGCTATCTAAAAAACCCACTACTAAACCCTACACCATCTACTATTCACTATTCAAAAGAAATAAATGCACTACACAATCTACTATTCACCATTCAAAATAAATAAATGCACTCGGTGTCGACAACATATGGGAGAGTTCATTAAAATGCATACATTTTGCAATAGATAATTTCTTATAAACATTAAAATGGTTCATTATATTGTAAAATCCAATTTTCTCGAATACAAGGCATACATTATCAGAATTAGCATTTTATGATTTCATAATATTTCATTTAAATGGAGCTTCGATTTTAGACCAATATTGATATGATTTATTATTTTATATGGTTATGAAATGTTTGATTTTTTCTATTTGAGAAAATTATTTGGTACGTGAACATGTGGATATTTATGGATTGATCCATGTGATATGAAAATAAATATGTGTGGCTTACATATACTGGCCAGTGCGGCGCTTCCGCCGACAAGTAATATTTATGGTAGCCGATGGATCAATTAGTAATATTATGAATGACCAAGTGTTGCAGCCATCAACAACAGATTATATTGATTATTGAACAGCTAGATGAATTGACCAGTGTATTAATTAATAATTGCCGGTGATATGGAATGGCCAAGTGGTAAGGCCACGTGCAACAAAATATGGATGGCTATATACATATACATGGTCGGCCAGTGCGGCTCTGCCGCCGGCGACGGGCAGTACGAATTAAGTGGCCGATGGTGAAATTAATGATACTTTGTATCTGGCCATGTGAAAGTTGAATAAAGTCCTGATCGGGAAAGAAAATTATATGGACTAATCTGATCCTGAAGGAACAATTGATAAGTTCTTCAAATTTATTGATGGAGAAACAAATATTGATGAAATAGTACAAGAAATTACTACTTAATGATTAAATGATATCTGGTATATTGGTACTGAAAGCTACCATGTTATGATTAAACAAAATGATGAAATGGTACCAGAAGCTACCATTGGATGATTGAACAAAATAAGAAAGTGGTACCAAAAGTTACGAGTTATTGGTGACACACAAAATGATTTCTCAATATATTATATGAGTCTAAGAGACTATATCAGATCACATTGATATTCGAGATCATATAGATATTACCATAAAGTGCTCTGAAAGAAGCACATATGATAATGATTGTAGTCATGAAATACTACATACTTATCTTGAATGAAAAGTGACATAGATATTATTATTACCGAGGAACAAGTATAGAAAATTCATATGATGGAAATATGGAGAAGAGGCAGTACATACTCGATAAATATGAAATACACAAATATTACATAATAGTACCCATAAAAGAAGGGTGCGTCTCGAGAGTATAAAACTCCGTAACTCTGCCACCCATTATTGTTATATGGGTTCATAATGAGAGATCTAAAGGATCAAAAGCTCTTTTTCGTTTAACCCCTTGTGTTTCCACAGACTCTTGAAATGTGATGCATTCTTGAAGCTTTTTGATAAGCTCACCAGACGTATCTGCAGATTTGAATACTTCTCTCGTTGGAGGAGATATAAATGTTTGATATACTCCTTGGTCTAAAAATCCAAGCAAACCAGAAAAAAATTATTAAAATTCATTAGACCTATGGGCTTGTTATGAAGTTTCAATTCTGCCCAAGAAGCAAGGATGAACATTGTCATTAGCATTCCATAACCGCCTGGAAGAATGATAAATGCATCGCTCTTGCTCGCCATATCCATCATACAATCATGAATAGAATGAGCTAGCATCATGCATATGGAATCCTTGACGACCCTTGTTGAAGCTCTATGAAATGTATGATACTTTTCACTTCTATCTCAAAACATTTTCCAGCCAATAAAATATTATCAAAGAAAGTGATGCTAGTCCCTCCATACAGTAAATTGATTTTTTGATTTCCCACATCCCTTACTAACTGACTCACAATATCAGCATTTTGAGAAAAACTTACTAGTCTAGAACTACCAAGAACACATATGGTTTTGATCGGCTGAAGAAATTTATTACCTTGCGAAGGCTCTGAAACATCCATCTATTTATTGATAAACTTAAATTTTCAAAAGTTTGTGAGGCATATGATTATGATGAATGACTCTATTTAAATAGAAAGTTTTACAAAGCGATAAATAATTTTACTATTTTATTCTGACAATTGCAACTGACAGATAAGGTGTTGGGTTTTAAATAAATCTTATCTGTCGGC